GAAATAGTTTTGGAATATACGAAATGCCGGAAAGTCAGTTCTGACGGTGCAAAACTTTGTTTTGTGACGCGATTGGGTCCGCCCCTAACAGATTTATCAAACTTCATCGTCACTTTTCCTATCTATTTTCATATTTTTCCTATCTTTTCTAGTTTTTCACTACAAACCGAGGCCTACGCATTTTTTTCAGAAATGGACGTCAGTGCCCTTTCGGATCAAGATCTCCGGGAAGAGCTCATCTCCTACGGGGTCAACACTGGCCCGATTACCGGAACAACACGCACTCTTTACGAGAAGAAGCTAGCCAAGCTTCGCAAGGAGGGTGGCGCAAAGCCAAAAGCTAAACCGGCGACCCCAGTGCGCTCTCAAAGCTCAAAGTCACCGGCTCGTGCATCGGCCAAAAAGGTACGATTTTTCTGGTTCGGTCATATATCGAATTTAGTCACCAACTCGCCGCTCCAACACCGGTCGGCTTGACGTGAGTGCAGATGAGGCCGACAGCGATCCTGAACATCCAGTGCCCACCTATGAGCAGGCAAGAATGACGCATTGGACCAATATCTATTGTTTCAGAAGAGCCCCATCACTTCTTCGCCGAAGCGCGAATCGCGGACGCCGATTCCGATACCTGGCCTCAACACTACGCATGCTCCCAGTTCAGCGGTTTGAAAGCTCTAGGTTTCATAAATTGCTTTTAGAAAAAATGGGATTCTGTCTCGGTTACGAGCAAGAAGAGCCGCATCCAAGAACTCCGAGACACCAGCGCAGGCCGCAGCTCTTCGGGCTCCCAATCCACTCCAGTGTCGCAACGCGACAGCTTCGATCGTCCCGGCGCCACGCCGCCTCGCAATTCTGCAATGAGGACCAAGGTATTTTATTGCGAGGTTGCGAAAGAAATTCTTTTTAGACTACAACTTCTTACTACACACCCGATCTCACTTCAACGGTGCGCAAGACGGTCCGCTCCGGTATGTTTCTCAAATCGGCGTCGTTGGATCTGTTAGATGTGTGCCATTCAATATTTTTTGCAGGTGCTGGTTCCGCTTACAACAATCTTGGACATACTACCGATGAGGAGGATACGCGCGGTGAAGAATCTGAAAGAATCATTTTCCGCGACACTCCACGTTCTCCCAAGGATTCACCGATCGTGCGCCTCTGGAAACGGCTTTCTGGCAATGGTGACGAGGTTTGTTTTAGCCCTGGCAATTTTCCAATCTCAACGCGATAGCATACGTATTTTGTTTAGTTCAAAGCCGGGCCTCCCGGAACTTACTACGACATGAAGGTCGGCGGACATCGTACCCGTGTGGAGAATGACACTCGTGCAGGCCGTATCCGTATGCAGCATCAGCAAGAAATTGTTTGTCTTGCTTCCTTGACATGAGATTGATTTTTAGGTGAATTGGTGGGACGATATTCCGCGGCTGCTCTTGATCATCTTCTCCATTTTCTTCGTGATTCTGGCGATCGGATACGTGACAACCGCTCACCCCGACACTCTGGCCAATGGAGCTAAAGTTGTTGCCGGTAGGGTTTGCCTCTAAAAATTACATTGGATTCGTATTTCCAGCTTCGACTCGTGATATGGTCGGCTTCTTCTACCAATACCTCATCGTTCCGTCTGCTGTGCTGGCCGCCCTTGCTGTAGCCGTCATTGCCGTCTACTACACCCATCGCTACTATCGCAACTCACGCGCCGAAGAGGAGGGCGCCTTCTTCGATCTGGTGGAGAAGATTACCGGTATTGAAATTCAAGAAAACATATATTTTCTAATCTAGACACTGTCCGTGATTCTGCTGCCGATGGCGAGGAATATATTAGCGTGCCCCATGTCCGCGACGTCATCTTCCCTCCGGCTCGCCGGTGAGTTTTTAGAGATTTTACAAGATGAGCGTTTGTTTTCTTGTTTCTTACGTTTACCTTTTTAGCCGTCCCGCCGAACTGGCTCGCTGGGAGCGCGCCGTGGAGTACGTCAACGATAACGAGTCGCGCATCGCCACCGAGACTCGCCTCATCCGCGGACACGAGTGCGCCGTCTGGAAATGGCTGGAGGCGAAGAAGACCGGATGGCAAGGCAAAGGTTCGCAATTTCTTTTTATCTAATCCAGAATGTGTAGCCTTCGCCGAAGCCCTTTCGCCGAACGTCCCAAAACAGGGCCTCACCAAGTTCCTAAAAATTCGCGATATGGTGGCTAACGACGGGTTCGCTTTAGTTTTCCGGTTTGCTGTGTTCTTTGCATTATTACAAGCATGTCCGAGTTCATTCGTTGATGAATTCGAGAGTCGAGGGGCTCTTCGCCCGGGTTTTTCTGTGATTATCAGCAACAATTGATTTTGGACCTTTTTTATAGGGGATGCTAGGTTCCATAGGTTACGAAAACGTTTGAATGTCGTTTGCTTGCTCCAATACTTATTTATAGGTCGGATCGCCTAAAGGCCGAGCTGGACATGCGCGACAAGCTGCGCCCGATTCAACCATTACATGTTGGAGTACGTTTGACTGTTTCTTGCTTTAAAATGTCTCTTTTAGTATTGTGCCGACCATAGCACTAACGAGAAGCTAATTTTCGCGATGTTCTCCACTAACGACCAGGCTCATAAAGCCTTTACTGCCCTTCATGGCGAGTGGTATTGCGGTTGGTTTTTGTGGTCAACTTCAGATAATGCTTTTTCAGGTCGCCTCATCAATGTAAAGTACGTCCGTGATATCCGTTACTTTGACCGGTTCCCAGAAGCCGCCAATTTCGAGGAATAAGCCACCGCCCTACCCCTCCGCCTGCCTTATCCATTGCTCACCGTATCTCAATTGTCCCCATACCCGTTGACCAATCTTTATTTTCATACTTATTGTCTTTGCGTTGTGCCGCGAAGCCCCGAATGCCAAAAATTACCTGCCCCGATTGATATCTTACCCCGAGGAATAAACTTTAAACATTTTTTGTACGACACTGGATGAACTGTTACGCTTGCAACCGATTTTATACACTGTTTCCAAACGGTAGGGTATTCGGTGGTTCTTCGTCGAAAACAATTTATCGTTTTTGCCTAGTCCTATGTCGGAAAGAAGAGCGGTGCTCATCTTACGGGAATTGAAGAAGAATCGTGAACGCAGGCGATTTGTCGAGGATGGTGAAGGCTTCTTGATACGCCGTGACACGAACAATGCCCTCAACGCCATGGATACGGCTTTTGATGATAAGATTGTCTCTCGTCAACACGCGCACGTCACCTACCGAGGCGGCCAATTCAATATCAGCGATTGGAGCACAACTGGTGTGCAAACATTAAAGCCAATAAACTAATTTAGGTACATTCCTCAATGGGCAACGGCTTCCGAAAAGTGAATCAACCACAACGACATTTTACCACGGAGACCTGATCACGCTTGGCGATCCGGGCCGTCGAGGTACTTTTTCTCGCATATATTCACTGTTATCCTAGATTGTGTTAACTTGGCCGTAACCGCATACGATGAAGCCCAAAATCCGTTGGCGGCGAGGTTGCTTGGCCCTTTTCGACAGAATTTATTTGTCTAGGCCGCTTGCCGCTTTACCGAAGTATGACAACAGTTTTCGCGTGCCAGCAGAACGCTACGATTGGAGGCCGGCACTCGATCGTGGGATCGAGGCGTTCAAATTCCATCTGGTAACTAAATAATTTCCATTTCGACATATATTTTAGCAAGGTGTTGTCGTTCGAGCCGAGCCGGACCTAGATATTTACATCATTTGCCCACCAATCATCAGCATGGAATTTGGCGGGCTACTGTTGCAAAGAGAGTCGTTAGGGCCCGGGCGGTAGTCCTTGATATGAAAATTTATGGTTTTAGTTTTCCCCCTACGAAGAACGTGCTCGAAGTTGGAGACTGGCTGGACGTGGAGGCTTTGCCTTTACAAGAAGGCGATCCGGTTTTCATCACTCATCGTGTGATTATGGTATTTTTTTGATGATCATTGCAATTGGCTATTTTTAGGTTCGCGATATATTGCCAACGCCTGTGGATCAATCAACTGTTTTTGGCCTCTATCAGGTATTCCCTTCTAAAAATCGGGAGCATTACGATGTTCAGGTCAATCTGGAATTCAATTGGCCATCTTGTGTGGAAGAAGAGGTTCACGCAAAGAAGGAGATCGTCCTAAAATCAACTCTCGGCGTTTTCGTTGTCGCCCCAGCCCAACTACTCGCACAATTTTCAAGCGCCCAGTCGCCATTGGTAAACTTGTCTGCCTGTTTACAAGGACACTATTTAGACGTTCCGCGCCAAAGCGACTTGTTCTTTGCCAGATGATGATACGAAGATATGGCTCCGACTCTCTAGCGCGACCGAATTGATCGAAGTCCGGCATCCTTAGTTTTTATACCCGCCTAGATTCTACATTTGCCTAATAATTTACCTAGTCCTCCCCCTTCTACTCTAACATTGGTTACTGCGAAATGTGATATTTGGTGACCGGTGACCTTTTCATCATGTTTGTTTCGCGCAAGATCAGCACTGTGATAATTCTTGCCATCGCCTTATTTAGATCATCACTCGACTGCTCAATTTTTCTTTGCTGTTTATGATTTCATCATGGATTTCCCTTTTGGCTGTTTGAAGTTTCGTTTTGAATGAATTTCCACATTTGGTTTGCAGTGTTTACGTTAAAAACGTTTTATACAGATGACATCGTTGACATCGTTATTTCCTTAGAATTTATTACCCCTACCGCGCTTCCATTCGCAAATGGCGGGAGTAGAGCGTGTCAGAGAGCGAGTCTCATCAGCCTTCATACGAGCGGCTGATGCTGATACTCAACGGGGCTAGAGTTTTCGGATATTTCTTTCTAAAAGGATTTGTTTGCTCGAATTTCAGTAGACATGCTTGCCTGCAGACCAAACTATAGAGTGCTTTCCGGTACGCATCGTTGACTCCAATCAGAAAGACTGAATTGAGGAACCCATGCGAGCATATGAGGGCGAATAAAAAGTTGCCAATGGCTGACGCGGCAAGTGGATTTTAGAGTGCAGAATATCTAACCTGGGTGAGGATCGGTGGCCTTCGTGATCAAGACAAATGGAAAGTACAGCCATGGAAGCCCGGAAGCCAGTGTCGGTATTGTATTCTACAAAATTTTTACTGTATTTTTTGAAAACCCCTTCTAGCACCTGGATACATAGGGTGAACAAAAATTGCTTCTGCAAACGGCGAGTGCTTGCGCTCATGTGGCTCGATTCGTTCTGGAGGATGTGAAACGAGTGGTTGATGCATGCCACGTTCTCAAGTTGTTTGGTAGCTTGGCAACGTTAGAACTTACCACGACATTATTGCTGACGGTGATGTACATGGCAATGTACCCGAACGCCTTGATGACAGAGATATTGGTGTACGGGATCGGCTGATCGGTAGCGGAATATAGAAATGGGAGTGTTGAGAAAAAGGTTCACACCTTTTCCCTTTTCGTACGGCAAATAGCTGTTGAATGCCGGGAGCCGCTGGCCCGTCCTCGAATGGAATCAACTCAACGACGATCAGTATGCTACCACTGTTGAAGAGGTAAGAGGCGAGCACAGCGAAGGCCCAACCTCGTGTCGATAATCTGCATAAAATAATTGGCGTTGAGCTTGTCGACCAACTTTAGGCGGCTATCCGGGTCTAACAGGAGCTGATGCTTGAAGGTGAACAACTGCTTCACACATTCGTTGATAGCTACAGTAAGGACGGCGCCGGATGCCTTAAACTAGGCTGTGTAAGGACAGGTCATGTCAGGTTCAGAAATCGTATGATTCTGCTCACAAATGCTTGTCGGACGCCAAACCCGAAGACTGTATCCCAGGGCCCAAGTACTCGTCCAGCCAATCCGGGAAAGTACAATTCCGGAACGATCGTGAACATCACAGCCTCAAAAGTCATTGAAATTGTCTAAAACGATATGATACGCCGAAATACGAACACCAACGTGTGTGATCAGGAATTGGACTCGAATCTCCTTCATATGGGGCGGAGTTCGGTAGAGCACCAGGTAGAAGGCGACCACGCCGAGCGGGATGCTGACAAACGGCAGCAGCTCCGAGTATAACAAATACAACGTAGGTGGATCATAACAGCTAGTAATTGTAGGGAATACTGTAGCCATATTCTCCGGGGTGGGTTTGCTACTTCCGAAATGGAAAATAAGTTCTCGGGAAGGCACAAGGTATTTTAAATGTGGCTACATTTCTACGTAGGAGTCTCTGTAGTCGACTGAATGCCAAATAAAGATGCCCACATCTTTGTGCGCATGCGTTAGTTCTTGGATCCAGTCAGGTGAAAATGATTCCCGATTCTGGATTAGCTGGAACGGGAAATTTATAGGGTTCAGTTGCAGCTGCTTTGCAACGCTGCACGGTATGCCAAAGAATAAAGCAGGGATATAATATTTTAGACTTATGATTTATGCTCTCAAAACGGCGATTCTTTTGTGTTAGGATTATTTTGCTCGATCGTCCAATTTTTATAGTTGGATAATGTTTGTCAGGCAGGTTTGGGCAGGTGTTTAGATGCTTGATGCCGAGATGCTTTTTTGCTGATAACTTTTCCCCTGCGTCATATTTCGAAAATCGCCGCTCTAGTTCGATAAAGCAAAAAATTCCCCACAATTTCGTAAAAAAACTTTTATATCATGAAGTGTTGGAAGCGTTTTCTATAGCTTTTAAAGCTCGTGCACGCTCTGAACGGCCGTGAGCCCTTACCAGCTGTATCTCCGGCTCCTCATGAAATAAAGCCATTTTGCAGGTGAATTCTGCGCGTAAAAGAATGCTGCACAACTATAATGAATCCCCACTACGATTTACGGGACTCCGCAATTCCGCGAGTTGCGAATTCATGCTGACTGATTTGTACGTTCATTCTCGTTTTGCATAAATTAATTTACATAAAAAGTCTCTACTATTCTCGTAGTCCTTCCATTTCATTTCCGTTTTCACATACCTCTTTCCTGGTCAGTCCTCTTGTCCCGAAAGGTTTTATTTACCCCCTCATTTCCAGGAAAGATGGTAAAATTCACGGGAAAGCCCAAGGATAAGGACGAAGCCTCCGATTCTGACAAGGAGGATGACGGAGAGGCAAGAATTCAACTTTTTTTTGTAATTTTGTTTAGGAGAGCTCCACATCTGGCGCCTCGAAATTTTCGTTGCTGAAGAAGAAGCTCGGCGGGCGGTTGAAGCGAAAGAAGGGGAAACAAGGCAAAAAGTGGGGTTGTTTTTAAAGGGATGCCGACGGCATAGTCAATCGGTTACGCGTTGGAAAGAAAATATCTCTGCGCCTCTCCCCGAGGCGCGCTCTCTCCCCTGTTGGCTACTTGCCAATTTGTTGATGAGGGGGGATCGACACATGCCGTCGGCAGCCCTTTAATTTGAACAGTCTCATAGAGGCTGTTTTTAATACCGGAAGTGCCATTCAAAACTTGAATAGCTTCCGGATTCCAAATAGCCACCAGTCAATGAGTTTTATCCGAGGAACCGAGAGTTTGTTCGAAATCGAAGTTGTCAGCGTAGAAATACCGAAACCAACGATTAATTTATAGAATGACCAACCAACCTTTATAGAACCAACGCTACTACTGATGAAGAGGGCTCGACCGACGCCGAAGCCGACACAGATGGCGAAACCGGCACAGAGGTTACTTTGCAGATTATTGGCTTCAAACTGTTTAGGGTGACGACCCAAACTCGGAGGCCGAAGACGGGGAACACCGGGCCGATCAAGAGGGCGACGCTGAAAACGTGGCCCGCACCGGCGGAAAGAGCTTTGAAAACACCGACGTCAAACAGAATGTTTTTGTGAGTTTTTTTCTGTCATTTGGCTCAGCTGTAAGCGCCAAAATTAACAAACTTTAGGTGACCGTTCGAGTGATCGAGGCGCGAGATATTCGGGACAGTGGCAACCTGCGAGCACGCGTGCGCTTGGACGGAAGAACAAAAGCCACACGTGTCACCACCGAACTTCACCCAAAATGGCAACAGAACCTCAATTTTGCCCTGGAGACAACTTTGGAAAAGGCGGCAATGAAGACCATCACATTGCAGGTGAGGAGCTTGCTCGAAAAGTTTCTAATTAGCTTTTCAGGCTTATGCTGTCCGCCGTGTGTTGAGCGATAAGCTGCTCGGCTCCTTCGATTGCCCAATGGCTATGGTATTTCCATTTTGCTACTTATAAGCTTTTTCCAGATCATGCACCAATCCGGCGGCGCCATCCTCAACAAGTGGATTGCCCTCGCACCACCCCCAAAGGATGGCAAACGAGCCGAACGGGATGAGGATGTCGGCTTCATCAAAGTGAGTTTCCTGCCGAGGCTTCATACACTTTTTAGGTGTCGATCGCCGTCTACAGCGCCGGCGAATCACCCCCAATGTTCCGCGATGACGACGACAGCAACGACATCTTCAACTCGGCCCATTTTGCCGGATACACACTTGTGGTCAGTACAAACCTCGCCGCTTTGCAATTCCTGCCGTTTCCTAGGTACGTCTTCACCGCCTGCTCCAACTCGTCACCGAAGTGCGCGAGAACATCCAACCCCGCAAGGGCAAAGGCCCGGATGCAGAATTTACCATCAAGGTTCTACAACTAGTTGGCTTTACGGAATTCCTTCTAGGTAATTGCTGGCAATCAATCTGGCGAGACCACGCCGGAATCCTTTGACGTCGAGTCGAAGTTCATCCCATTCAACGAAGAAGTTGCCCTCCCGTTCCTCTGGCCCACCGTCATCCACCGCCTCGTCTTCCATCTGATCATGACGCGCGGGAAAAAGAAGACGGTCATCGCCCAAAGTTCCATTGCTCTTCGCGACATCTACGCTCCAGGCGAAGAAGGATATCTGCCGTCATTTGGACCCGCCTTCCTCAACTTTTACGGCCCCGAGAAGATGCCCCAGCTCCGCCGCTTTCGCCGCAAGTTGACGATTCCGGAAACCGACAACTGCAAGTAAAGATATACTCGGTCGCGTCTTTACATTTGGCCTAGGTTCTTCGGGCGTATTTTGGCCGCAGTTGAGTGTGTCGACTTCCAAGGCGATCAACCGGAGGTGGCTACCCTTTCCCATGCCGCCGTCAAGTATGGGCTCAAATTTGAAGTGAGTGCGACTTCACTTACACAATAAAATAGCATTTTTAGCGCCTTCACCACTACAGCCTTTTTGCCACCATGACGGCATGCAACAAAATCAACCCTCGCTATGCCTCGGATAATGTCTCGTTTCTGGTATGAAATTATTAAAGCTGACGCTCCTCACTCAGTTTTAGCTGTCAATGGGAAACTACGGAAGCAACGAACGATCGTATCCGCTTCCTCGGAGCAGCACCCATCCATCGATGCCGGACTATGACGATTGCCGCGATTTCTGCATGGGATGGGGCAACCACGAACCGTTGCTCGAGATTGGCTGCCTCTGGGAAAACGTTCATCATCGCGTCGAAAGATCCAATGCGATATCAGCGGTACTTTTCCGTTAGCTTTTAATTAATTTATGTTAGGTCGCTACCATGGTTGAAGAAGTTGTTGGAGAAGTGGCGGCCCTCGGTGGACAAAAAGCGTCCTATGGTGGCGAGCTGGTCGTGGAAGGCCTCGAATGGGCTGGCCGCATGCTCGCCTCAATCCAACACCACCAAGCTCCCAAGCGACTCCGCTCCCACCACGATTTTCTTCACCAGGAGACCCGACAACGCATGATCGCTGAAGTTGAGCTGCCAAAGGTTCGGAAGTAATTGTTTGTCAGATTCGTGAAGAGTTGCTGTCGCTCAAGGATGAACACCTGCCGCTCGAGAAAGCTGTTGAGGAAGGGACCCGTTGCCTGGCCCGTGCCGCACTTTCACTACGGTAATTTGAGAGCAGATTTCCCAAAAATTTGTGAACTTTTTAGCAAATTGGCTCGTGATGCTGAATGTACCTTGCCTGATATCCTCATCAAAATGGTGGCTTCGGAAAAAGTCGTCGCCTACGCTCGCATTTCTCCAGCAGAGGTATACCGGCCAAGTATTTTTATTAGAACAATCCTAGATCATGCATTCGGAGGAAGCTGAGGCTCTTGCCGGACGGTACTGCGGTCTCGTACGGCCCGTGCAGTTGATGTGGATGGATGGCGCCGTCCGGAAGAAGTCACAAGATGATCAAGTGCCGGCGGTCTTGCACATCAAAATGTGGATGGGCCGACACAAAAATGGCGCAGCCTACATAGGCGAGATGAAGCCTGCGGAGCCGAAGTGTTTCTGGGAGGTCTACCACTATCAGGTCCAGAAAATCTGATTGCTTACCACTTTTGTTAAGACAAGAACTACTAGCCTGAACGAGTGGGGAACGCTTGGGTACTTCGACTTTCGCGGGCACATCGTGGACCCACTTCAAGGACCAGTGGTTCCGGATGGTTGGCTTTATTCGGTAAGGCATGATTTATTACATGATTACCTTTGAATTAGGGAGATTGGCAAGTGCGCAACACGCACGAGCGCTGGATCCCATCCGAGAAAGGCCGCGTCGTCTACGATGACAAGCTGTTCGAACTACAAGAACGAACGGCTGAGGGGTGGGTTATGACTAGTTTTCGGCGATTATCTTTTTAGGTGGACTTTCGTGGCGCATACGGATGTTTGGGGCGCTAAAATCTCGCAGAAGACGATGAGCACGGCTCCGAATGGTGAGAACTTGATACCCACATTGACTTGATGGTTACGTTTTGAAACAATCCAAAATGATTTAATAAGTTAATTTTCAGGGTGGAAATACGAAGGCTCTTGGGCTCGCGACTTCCATTCCACCGGAGACAAAGAGGGCTGGATGTACTCCGTCGGCGGCCAGTTTGACGGCTCTGAAGCGAACGAGAGGGCTGAAAGGTCTGAAATTAAAACAGTCCGAAGAAAGCTTTTAGACTCATTCACATGTTCCGCCGACGTGTTCTGACTCGAACGCGCAAGCGGCGAGATGGAAAGCCCAGTACTAGCGGCAGCATTTTGGACGTGCAGGCTAACATTGGAATCGATGACAACTGGGAGGTAATTGGTGATTTTGGTTTCGATTGACGGTTTAAAAAATCTGATTTCGTTTCGATTTTCGATGCAAGGTATGCTTAATTTCTATTGGGCGTTTTTCAGTATGCCACCAAACAAAACGGCGTCTTCCACGACAAGTGCATGCCAGGGGACCGCGCACGTCGGCGTCGTTTCGTTGCCCCTGTCGTGAAGAACGAGTAAGACGACGGAATTTGGTCCCGCGTACCCCTCCCTTCTAGCGACCCGGTGACCAACTACAACGCGATGCGCCAGTTCGAGATCCACGACGTCGTCTCTCAATGGCAGCTACGTGCCTATGTCTTTTGGGGCAAAGATCTGCTGCCCGTGACGAAGGACTTCTCATCGAGGGCCTTTGTTCGCTTCTCCTACCTGCACCACACCAAACAAACGGCTGTCGTGGATCGTACGGCGAATCCAGTCTTCAACGAATCGCTGGTTTTTGACAAGGTATGATCTTAAAGTTATAAAAATCACCGATTTGTGATCAAAACTCCCGTTTTTAGTCGGTAGTAGTAGAGTTTAAAGGTATATGAAAAATTTCCAGTTATTGATCCCCGGCTCTCACAACACCATCATCGACTGCCCTCCATCCGTTTTTGTCGATGTCCGAGGAGAGCGACACGATGATTCTGAAGTAGGGTTTTCCCTTGATGCTAACAACTTCTATTAGTGCTTCCTCGGCCGCTTCACAGCTTCTCCGACCGTTATCTGTTCTGCAACGGAACGACGTGCGAAGATGCGCTGGTTCACCCTGTCTTTCGGCCAAGGCCGCACCCGGTAATAGATTTTCTAAAGTCATTTAAACCCTCATTCTAGTGGCTCGTTGCTGTGTGCCTTCGAATTGTTCCTCCGCGACACCAATCACAAAGTCGAACTGCCCCTGATGCCGGCAAAGAAGAAGACCAGTGGCATCGAGGTGAGCTTGATTTTCAACTCCCGCTCAACGACTTTTAGGTGCCGGCCGAGTTGCGGCCCAAGTTTTCCAAGTACAGCGTCCAGATGCTCTGCTGGGGCGTCCGCAACCTGCAGCGCCACAATGTGGGATTATTCGGAATATCAGTGTTTTTCGCCGATTTCTGGCATGCGCGAAATGCTAGTAATGCCAAAATACTGAAGATTTTTGGAGGTAAAAACCGTTCCAATCGAAGGTTTCGGACGGCGAGCTTAGCGAACTCTCAAAATCCTTTTTCAAAACGGTATTTTAGTTGCTGACGGTCCGCCGCCCTTTCATCTCGATGATCTTTGGCGATTCTGATGCAAAGCTCCGCCCATTGCGAGATGTCAAGGATAACCCGAACTTTGACGAACCCCTCGTCACCTTCCAAGAAGTCATGCTCCCGGACGGTAATCGAAGAATTGCCGCTTCAAAATTTATTTTTCAGAGCTGGAGCTAGCTCCGCCGCTCGTGCTCAACCTGCACGATCAACGAGCTTTCCGGCGCCAACCGCTCGTCGGTGTCTGTCTGGTTAGCGACTACCGCAAATACGTCAAAACAGCTCGAATCCAAAAGGTTAGCGGCGAGATACTTTGTGAAATTTTGTTTTTTACAGCAAGACCAACTATCTGACGACGGCTGGCAGCAATTTGAGGATCTGGTTGAGCTAGAAGATGCTGCGGATGCTAAATTACCGAAAGGTAGACGTTCAGGTTAACGTAATTCTTTGATTTTAGTGGTGAATGACGAACATTTGGGCGATTATCGCATCGACTGGTGGAGCAAGTTCTACTATTCGGATGGCCACTCCGAACGCGCTCCTGGTTTCAAAGAGTTTGTCGTTGGTGTATTTGCGTTCATTACAAAAATTCCAGAACCGGCATCGAATCGCTGCGCATCTTCCCATGGCCACTGGAAGACACCAAGGAATACGGGCGCTTCAAAGACTTCCTCGACACATTCCAGTTCAAGAAATCGGCACGAGGCATGTGATGTTAGCCCTGCAAAACGCGTGGTTTTAGGCCACTTTGATGATCATGAAGAGAAGGAATTGACGGGAGAGCTGAAAGGGCGCCTTTTCCTTCGAAAATATGAAGGAGAAAAAGCGCGTAAGGGCCTTCTTTTCCAAGACAGATTTTTTTTCTTTAGCCGCTTTGGCTCAACCGTCTGGCGTCGAATTTCCTGGAGTGACAGCGTGCCGTGTGCGTCTCTATGTTGTGGCTGGTGGGCCGTTTTTGGTGTTCTTAAACCACTGATTTAGCCACCGGCCTCATCAACAAGAAAACGAACCGCGCCTGTGACTCCTACGTGATGGCGCGAATTGGGAAGAAGAAGGTTGGAGTTTATGTGTTTTTACTGTTTTATTTCTCTGGCGTAGTGTAGCGTATTTTTATAACTGCTTTTTTAGATCAGCCGCAAAGCCAGCTACTCCCCGGACAACGTTGATCCAGAATATGGAGAGGTTGTGATGACCCTGCAAAACCTGCAAAATCGGATTTTCCAGTTGATCGAATTTGATGTTGAGCTCCCGCTCGAGAAGGACTTGGTCATAACCGTCATGAATCGCCGGCGCATCATCCGTGACGAGGAAATCGGCTCCACAACGATCGATCTCGAGGACCGCCTTTTGACGCGTCACCGGGCTACTGTAGCCCTCCCGCAGCAATACACCACAAAGGTATCAGGGCTTGTGTGTTAGTGGGGGTGCTAGGACATTTTTTTCGATGCGCGTGAGGGGCTAGGATTGAAATGTCGGGTATTTCCGACGTTTATCACTGTTTTTCATAAAGTAAAATCTTGATTAGGTAACACAGGTTCCGAAATATTGTGATTTTTGTCGAAGATTAGTAAAAAACCGGGAAAATAGGTCAAAAACTTCAGAATTTTAAAATCTTATAATGGGGCTTGATATTCACCTATTTATTGTTATCTTAATTTTTTGACTCTTTATCTACATCTTCAGGGCGATCTGGTGTGGAGGGACCAACTCAGCCCCCTCTCCACCCTTCGTCGATACTGCCGTCGGATGCAACTCCCACCACCACGTTTCCTCGGCGATGCCTATCCGAATCTGGGACTTGAGGTGCATTGTATCAGTTTTGTGCTCAACGTTTTTGCTTTCAGGTGCTGGGCGTCAAATTCATGATCAGCGACATTGAGCGCGAGCCAACGCCCAGACCCCGGGTTGGCAGCCCGGTGCAGCGAGTGGCCCTCTTTGTACTCCACAAGGTACGTTTCTGCGCTTTTCGAAAACTGGCTTATTTTCCAGATGGGTCTGGTGCCTGAGCACGTCGAATCACGCCCACTATTTGACAGCCATGGTGGAAAGCAAGAGGTATTTTCGATAGATTTCACCATTTATCTACAGGTGGGCCGCATCCGCTGTTGGGTCGACATCTTTCCCTTGGATATCGGTAATTTCTAGCCTGATCTTCAGAAACTTTAACCAAATTCAGGCCCTGTACCCCGCCCGATTGACATCTCCGTCCGCCGCCCAGAACAATACCAAATCCGCATCGCCATCTTCAACGTGTTCAACGCGGTCGTCTGCAAGCGCAACTTCCAACAACCATGCGGCGATCTCTACGTCAAGGCATTCCTCAATGGCCAGCAAAAGGGCCAAAAGACGGATGTTCACTACCGGTAGTTTCGTCGTTTTTTGTGCTTTACGCCCTTTCCCTGTTTAGAGTGCTCGACGGCTTTGCATCTTTCAACTATCGATTGATCCTCGATTTTGACTGGAACCCTTGGGAGAAGAAGATCTACGCCAAGGAGAAGAAACGCCTCTTCAGGTGGGTTTTACCTTCCTAAAAAAACTGGGCTCCTTTTAGGAAATCACGCACCGAGCTGACAGACTCGTTGCTGATTCTACAATTGTGGGACAACAACAAGTTCAGCAAGGACACCCTCCTTGGCGAGCTGGTCGTTGATCTACAGGGTTTCCAAGGTGCTCTCTTCCTTCAATTTAAATTCCAGATTTAATTACTAAATGACCTTGATTGAGCATGATCACGACCAAGACTTTTGTTTGTTATTCCTCTATTTTCAGAGGGTATGATGGACCCCGATGAGATCCAAGCCGTCTACTACCCGCAAGTGCGCTACCGTAACCTTTGCGCCCGGTGTTGCCGTTGGTCGTGGGCTAGACGCCCGGCTCTTTGTTGCAACCGGAAACGGAAGGAGAAGCTCAAGCTCAAGGAGACGATCCCGCTCCCCAAGGCCCCGGTGAGTCAAATGGAGTTTGCTGAAATCGGGAATTTTTAGCTCTACAAACCCCCAAACAAGGACGACCCCTACTTCCGGCCCTTCGAGGGGGAGACACTGCGCGGCTACTTCCCGATGCTCCGCAAAGGGGCCGAGCTGCCAAATGAACAGGTCGGATTTTTGACGAGCGTGATCACTTTTTTTCTAGAAAGTCGACCACGACGCAAAGAAAAAGAAGAACGACGACTACGCGGTGCTCAATCCCGACAAAAACTATGTGACTGGTAGGCTCGTGCTCGAATTCCAAGATTTCGCATCTCTAGGAGTGGTCGAAATGGAGGTGCAGCTCCTTCCGAAGCACGAGGCAGATCGTGAGAAAGTGGGCTTGAAGCGGAAGAAGCCAAATCATGTGCGTATTTTCAGGATCATCGATTTCAAGAGCGTTATGATTGATTGAGTTAAAAATTTATCAAAAATGAAGTATTGATCGAAAAGGTCATTTAATTTCTGTAATTTTTCCAGAGCCCAACCCTCGAAAAGCCCGACCGATCGACGTGGGATTCTCACTGGTTGCTATCTCGGATCCGCCCGGCTCTTCGTCACTTCTGGCATACCTGGGGAAAGGTAGGAGAATTTTCGAAAACTCTATCTCCTTTTCTAGCCGTTGATCGTCTGGCTGGTGATCATCCTCTTGATCGTACTCGTCGTCGCCTCAATCCTCTACAACCTGCCCCTCATCCTCGAGCGCGTCTTCGCTTCGATGGCCGAGCTCATCACGGGCGAGTGACGCTGTTCTTCTACAGCCACCCGAGCAACAGATTAAACCCACGCTTAAAATTCGTTAAAAAATACGCTGTCGTTGTTGTCTACACATTACTTGCCCAGCACGCGCTTTGCACCTCGATTAAACCGTCTCCGATATTTGTGCCATATATTTGTGTATGCTTACCCCGGTGTCCTTCATGTGATTATTGCTATATTATTGGACCGGTTAATAAATGTTTTTGTTGGTTTTGAAATGGCGAATATGATAATCTGAGTTAGTAAGTTCGCAAAAATACTTTTTTAGGCGTTGAAGGAGCCGAGCAGGGACGTTTAACGCTGTGGACTTTGTTCGAGGGATGAGTATGATGCCGGCCATTTTTCAAAGTGTGAAAAATGAACTATGACCCAAAAATTGCCGTTCCTCGATCTAAAAGGGCCTGCTATTCTTGGGGTTGCTATTTATCCGTGCAAACAAGCAGAGAGTATCTTTGCGGACCCTTTAGCCCCCACAGCGGCCGTCACAGCCACCGCTTCCGCTAGTCGCTCAAGTCTGAATGGCGACGAGGGCTTGGCCATGGCCCTACTCTCGGGTCGGGGTTTGGCCGTCGAAAAAAGGCCCACCCTAATCACTTCTTGACACTAGCTAGCTTCCATTCAATCGGCAAAAAGGATAACCTATTGTTTTTAGCGGCTTCAAGTCTTTTTCTTGTGAAAACATCGTCTATAATTAAACTAATTTTCGGCTATATGTTAAAAGGCAAAAGGTTAATGAACTTCTAAGGAACTTTTCTTTCCAGGACTTTTAAATCTGGGTTAAATCGATCACACCAGGTAAATCCCCCGGCAGCAGAATAGCGTTTCTAGCAGATTCTAGCAGTTTAAAAGCTAATCAAAACACTTTAAAAACACAAAAAATTCGCAATGTTGGCAAAAAATTTCTCGAAAATTAATTTTTTATGCGATTTCTATACTTTAAACGACTTCAAAAGCTAAATAAATGGTGTGTATTTCCAGGCTGGGGCCCTACGAGGCGGTAGGCCAAAGGTCGGGTCCCCCCGCTAACAGTCCAGTACCGTTTTCTAGTATGACTCTCCCTGCCTAACCTCATCCTCAAAAAATAGCTCGTCCTCCTCCTCCTTGAGCTCAATCCAATGAACTTTTGGCGCGGTGGGCTGAATGTGGATGAGTGTGTATGTATGTGAATGTGGGTGTGGGTATGCGTTGTCGAGTGGCGGATGAGAATTCGCGGGACGAGAAGCCAATCGAATTTGACGGGCCATCCCGTGCCCTAAAAAGTGCCCCCCCCATCCCACCCTTCCCGCGACGCGGCTCACAATCAGCCGTTTCTGAGTGAGTATTGGGGGTTGATGTTGTGGCATTGGAAGTGTGTGTCTGTCGTGAAGAAGCGGCGAATTTTGTTTGTAGTATGGATGGCAGAGGAGAATTGCGAAGTCGAGAGGAGCAGAGAAATAGAAAAATTGTTGTCTTCTTAAAATTTTTACATGTTTTAAACTTTGAAAACTTCTTTTCAAGGGTTCTTTCGCATTAGCGGGGGCGAATATTTTCTTTAGTATCCCCTTTTCCCAATATAGCCAGCGGAAGCCGTTCTAATCTTTTTACTATTTTTTACTAATCGTAGAAAATCCTTACTAATTGAATTTGAATATGGCTTTTTCGTCAAAAATTTCGATTTTTGAAGTTTTGGAGGTTGTTTTCCACTTGAAATATAGTTACATTTTGCTTAAAAGGCTGTTGAAACACGTCATATCTCGTTGCTAGACATTTCTAGATGCATAGAAAAAATTATTTCTCCCCCTGATAATGCAAAAGCACCGAATGTGAGCTGACTTTTAGAGTTTGTTCAGATTTTTAATTTTCGAGGTCCTAAATTTTCGAAGATTTTCATATTTATTTCATGAGTTTTTTATACCTAAAAACTGTAGAAAAGACAATAAAAATTATTGATATTTCGTTATAGGGCCATTACTTGGAAAAAATTGCTCCCCCGCTAATAGTCCAGTACCCTTTTTGTATTTAATTGAAGCTAGCGAAGCTTTTATAAATGATACATTTTCTTTCAGTTTTTTAGAGGCATTGTAGTTTTAGATTTCCATCCCCCCCCCCGATATTTCCGACACCTGCCCTCCCGGAAGCTTCTCGTCCGGCCACCCAATATCTTCAGGGGGTGAACGGCCGATGCTTTTGAGATGAGATGAGTTGTGCCGGCGGGGGGATATTTGTCGAGGGGGAGGTTGAGACGAATCTCGGAGAAAATGGCTGCTGCTTCTCCGGGCTTCTCCTGCTCTGCTCCTCCTCCCTTGCCTTCCTGGTCTGGCCCGAGTGCCGACTGAAGTGCGACAAATTTAATAGAAGGCCCTAGGGGGGGAGACCCTGGGGAAGAAGAAGAAGAACCGCCACCACACGCAAAAGCCCCGGCCATTTTTTAGTATTGTAGCGGATTGATCTGGAGCTTCAGACGGTTCACAATCAGTAGCTGTTGGTACTGCGTTCTTAGCGAGGGGGGTGGGGGTAATTATCTTTCGCCTATCGTAATCCCAATTATGGAACTGAGACCATAAACGGCACTGTTTCTAAGTAAAGCCTTTAAAAATCATTAAAACTTTCGAAAAGATTGATTTCTCGTCAAAAATGTACACAAATAGGAAATTTTTCTAATTCTTCATTAAAAAATTTGCCATTTTTCTAAAAAACTCTTTAACCTTTTAGCGTTTAAAAACTTTTTTTTGCTATTCCTAAAAGTAAAAAATTTACAAATGTTATTAAACATGCAAAAAAATAGATTTTTGGTGCAAAAATTGTGGGGACCAAAGGTTTTTTGAAATTTTTGAATTCGGCTTTTTAAAATTGTTGCTAGTTTTCTAGTTGAAATATAATTTTATTTTACTAAAAAACACTAAAAGGTTGCCTAGTAAGTTACTCGGCATTTCTAGAATGGTACAAAACATTTCGCCCCCCGATAACGCGAAAGATCCCCCAGATTTTGTCCCTACTCCCGCTCCCACGCTCGCCATCCGCCCCCTCAAGCTCCTCTAGATAACTAAAAGCCCGTCTTAAAAGCCAGGCATCTATGCTAGGGTGAATGATGAGAAGTGGCAGGTTGATGCCGTGGATGGGGCTACCGTAGCCGAGGGGTGCTACCCGGCCCCCGCAGCATCTTTTTGATGTGATCGCGATGAGGTCCACGATCCCACGCCTCGGCTCTGGATTTGCATGGCCATTTCTGTGAAAACTTGGGGATGCACACGTTCCAGATTAGCATCAGGGATTTGGGGTTGGGGTTTCTTAGGTGGTGGGACCTGGCAAGGCTTGTGAAATCAAGCTAAAAAAAGCTAGCGTCAAGTGTTTTCCTCGTAGTCATACTTTTTTTTAGTTGTGGACTACAACGTCTAAGCGTGCCTTTTTAGATATTCATGGGAGCTTTCGCGCTATCGGGGGGATCTCTTTTTCAAACCTTTTCCTCACTAATATTTTTCTTTTTTACAATTTTTCTAATAGAAATAGAGCAGTGTTCCTAAGCCGTTTTTTACTATTCCTAAATCCCAAAACGATAATTTTGGTTAAAAATACCAAATTTGCGATTTTTTTGGAACAAAATTTCAAAATTTTCATAGATCTTTAGATAATTTCCACTGTAAATAAAGTTAAATTTTACTAAGAACGTTCCTAAACTAGGTTTTTCTGGATTTTTAGGAAAAACTAGCACCTCCCCCCCGATAATGCCAAAGACCGAAATCTGAGCTGGCTTTCCAGGTGTTTAAGATTTTTTATTTCGATTTCGCTAGGGTTTTCCGTTTAGTTTTGGTTTAAAGTTTAACTTTTATAATCCTGTTTTAGATTTTGTCTTCTTTTCCGCGATCTTTGAAGAGCATTTCATTTATACAGCGTTCCCCTTTCGTCCTCTTAACAAGCCGGAAATTTTTTGAGGGAGCCGTGAATGTTTTTGGCCGCTAGCATTCCGGAGCTACTTCCTAACGTCTTCCACCCTGCAACCAATTTTTCGCAAGCGGTTTTTCGACCGTTTAATACGGGTCATTTCGGTCCCAAAAATTTGGCTATATTGAGCAAGCCGGGGTCAATTGGCCGCACGAATTGTGACCCGAAAAAATGGAAGAGATGGCCCGAAAAATGGCCATTTCGCGCTCGCTTCCATGCATTCATCAGTGGATGGAAGAACATTGCCAATACGAAGAATAGTTTTATTTTGGAGAATAGTTAAATTGCGAACGAAAAAAATTAAACCTAACCTCAGCCTGAGCCTAACCTAGACCTAAGCCTAAGTAAGGACGTTCCCTTTTTCCTATGGACGCCGTGTGAAATGGGAAAAGATCTAGAAGAGAGCCCCAATTTGCGGGTGCTTATCTACCCGTGGGGCCCCGGAGGGCAAATGAGTCCTTGACCACACACCTAGCCGGCCATTTCAAAACAAAAAAACACCCATAGAAGCAGAGCCTAGAGGGAGCTAAGCAATCCCTTTAAGATATAATTTTTCTAATAAAAATAGGGCAGTGTTAATAAACTGATTTTACTATTCCTAAACGTAAAAACTTTACAAAGTCGTATGAAAAAACACAAAAGATAGCGATTTTTCGACAAAGGATGGTCGATTTTCGACCAAAACCGTGATTTTTTACACGTTTTAGATGGGTTTTCCACTTGGAATAGAGTTAAATTTTACTAAAAACCTTATGAAAACACTTATTCTCATTACTTTACTAACCATTTCTGGACTTCTGCCAAAAAAATTTTACTCTTGCTCTGTTTGTCTGCAAACACTTGTTAAGGCTCAATTTCCACAAGCTTCTTCTTTTTCTTCTTCTTCTTTCCCTTCCGGCGCGTGATCGGCCAAAATGTTGCAACAACTGTCCCGGCCTCTTTTCTTGGCTTTTCCCCAGCATCAAGCCAACTCAAGAAAAAGCCCGGAAAAAGAGGTCTTTTTAGGGGTCAACACAGCCGAGGCTCCTCCCCCCCCCCGGCCTTCCCCCTTTAGGCGACAAATTT